ATGAAAAAGTATTTTATAATACATCAGTGTGCTTACAAGAAGAACACACAACATTAACAATTATATTCAAGTTTTCAAAGAATGAATGTACATCAACTACTTCTTTACTTGTAGCAATAAGAGCTATATATAATTGATGAGCTAAACTATATACATAATATTCTAAGGGTAAAAAATATATCACCCCTAGCTAACTGAAAAACAGAATAGAAAGATTATGGAGGCTCACTCAATGTGAGTAACCTGATGGATTATTATTCATTATATAATACAAGAGTTTGTTACAACAGGGTAAACGTCATATCTTCTACATAATTTTAAATTAAGAATAATGAATCCTTTGATACAATAACTATAATACAACAGTTAAACAGAAATGTATTCAGGACTTGGGCCTTCTTCTTCTTGGACTTCTTATCATGGGCTGGACTCCTTAGATAGAATCATGGGCTGGTTATTTTCATTGTTAGTATCCCCCCACAAACGGGAAGTGACCAACCCAAGTTTGTCGTGAAGAAACAGGAAACGATTAGACGACAGAGGTTAGTTAGTAGGTTTGCAAGTTGATCTTCAAAAGGCACAAATTGAATAGTAATCCTAAAACAGAACAACAGAAGTGAACGGAAGAAACGCGCGTCCATTGCAACACCACCGTTAATGCAAATAAAATGCATTTGTAACTTGTCATTTATTTCCCTGTTTTCAGTTTGAGATTTAGAACATTATAAATAGGACCTTGTTTTCCTTGTACTAGCATATGATATTAAAGCAATAAATTAAAGTATTTTTTTCTCATTTAATTTTTGAACCATTTTGGTATCAGAACTGATCCAAAGAGTGGGAGAGTGAGAGAGTGAGATGAGAGTTAAGTGATTATGTCGGAGAAGAGAGAAATTCAGAGGAGGAGCCCCTGACATCTTCGAGACTTGCAATCCAAACATAAATTTTTTTTTTATCTCAACTCATCTCTTTTCTTTATTTAAAATTTTTTAAACTATTTAAACAAACAATTTTAAATATATGAATTTTAAATTTGAGATTTGAAATGTGAGATTTTAAAGTTAGAATTCAAATCCAAATGCACTGATCCAAATGCTACCTTAACTTATAAAATGAAACCCTACAAGTTAAATCAAATAAATTATTCTTCTCAATGCAAGGCCAGTGATACCGTACGCATGCTCTTCGTCATAGAATATCCGCTTTCCTCAGTGCCAACAGTGCAAGAACCATTTTTGTCGGCGAAGAGGGACAAAAGGTATCGGAATCAAATTTAATAACTCTCTATCAGAGAGGAAGAATAACATTATCTTAAAAAAAATAAAAAGAAAAGAAAAGAAAACAGGGAGAAGAGAGAAAAGAGGACGAAACATGTGCTTTGGCAGCCCCAACGTGGCGAAAGGCACGGTCACCGATTTCCTGATTTGGAAACCTTAAAGACACAGAAAAAAGGAAATCTGAAATACCTTCCTGAGACGTCATTTCCCATTCCCAAGTAAAAGATTGACACGTGTCCTGTTCGCTTCATCGCACTTCGGACGCGCATGACTTCGCACATCTCAGACAACCTTCGGGCTTCAGGTTCCGCCCTTAATTGTGTCAGTGCTGGCGGTTGGATTTAGTTTGTATTTGATTTTTAGTTTACATTTATTAAAAGCATATTTAAAAGATTTAATTATTTATTAAATTTGACAAAACACATTTTAAATACAATTTGAATGTGCTTTTGAGAGTTATTCAAATGAGTTCTTAATATTAATCCACCACATCAATCATGGTTCTCTGATTAAATATTCTCATAATTGTAAATTTTTTGCTGATGATCTGACCAAAATTTCTGTAAGAGAATGCAAGGGAAGCTTGATTTTGTCTTTGGCTTTGGTATGCATTCAACTTGAGTGCTCATAAGTGGTGATAAGATTTGGATCATTCAAATAAAAATATGGACAGTTTAAATTTAAATTTTTTTAATTTTATATTTATTAAAATAAAAAATTTTAAAAAATTATATAAATATTTCTCATCAATCTAGACAAATTTAATTTGAATGATATAATTTAATATTAAAATTTTAATAATTTTATAAATTAATTATTCAAATTTACTTTGGATGGCCCAGATTTAAAATAGATTATCTCTATTTTTAATATTTTATTTATCAAAATAAAAATTATAAAAAAATTAAATATTAAGTCCAATCTATTCAGAATACATATACATAATCAATTCACAAAGATTATAAAAAATTAATCTTAAAATGGCCCACCCAAATTAAATATGCTCTGTCCAGATTAATTATTAACATATTTATTAAAAAATATATAAATATTATTTTAATAAATATAAATATAAATTAAAAAAATTTGGGCCATCTAAATTCTCATGTTTTTTAAAAGCAAGAAACAGTGCGTTGCACCTGATGAGCACCAAGGTGCTGCGCACCGAAGACGGACCCCTTTTGCATCCTAAGACTTCTTATATTCCCAATACTTAATGTAATGCACTATATAATATAATTATTTTCAATATAATAGTAGTTTATTTATTTTTATTTACATGAATTTGACTGAATTTATATGTTAAATTCTTCATTATCTAGGCTTGGATCACGTTGGACATATTGGTGGACGCAACAGTTATCATCATTAATAAGATCTCTTGTCAAGCCAGTTAGGCCACCAAAAATTTCTGTGGAAGTTGAACAAAAAAGCTTGAATATTTGTCATGCAATATCAAAAGTCAAGAAGCAATAGATTCTATTAGTTATTCGGCCCATACGTTTTGTGCCTTAATTCCTGATTTGGGCCCATAAAATTTTTCCTAGTTCTATTGTTATATGGATAGATGCATCACCATAAAATTTCAAATGTGGCTCATTGTGTCAGCTCATTTCCCCTTATCTTTTTAGTTATAATTATTGTCCAAATTTGAAATGGAATGTCATTACTAAGAAACTTAATACTCCTTTCATCCCAAATTATAAGACATTTTTGGATAAAATTTTCCATACTAATAACACTCATTAAATACACTTTATAATCTTATTTTTCAAGACAAAAATATAAATTTTTAAAGATGCCCTTTTATTTAATACTCCGTTGAAGAAATTATATTAAAAAGAGAGAATATATGGGAAAGGTAATATTAAAAAATTATCATTAATGAAACCTTATTTTTAATCTTTCTTAAATTTTCAGATGCTAAATCTTTCTTACAAGTGTCTTATAATTTGAGACGGAAGGAGTATGTTTTTTACAAGTCATCTTTGGATTCAAGTTGATGGCATCTCGTGTCTTTTTTTTATTTAAATATTTTTTTCTTATAATGTAATGTTTAGAAGTGTAGATTAAATTAAAAATTTTTGCACTAATTTTGAGGTTAGAGTAGTTGTTGGGATTATGGCTGAACATTGCATTTCTTAAAAAAATAAAAATAAATGGAAGTATATTTTTCATAATGTCAATTTAAATGGAAGTATATTTTTCATCTTGTTGGTTTCCAGCTTTAAAATGTTGCATATAAATTTAGAAAGCAGGTAGCAATGTAAAGCAAAATGTGCATATGGAAAAAAAAAAAAAAAAAATTGACCCTACCAGAGTATTTCTACTAAAAAGCGCTTCCACAAGCTTTCCACGGGAGCTCTCTCCCCAAAAGCACTCCTATAAAGGCTTTTTGTTTTCTCCTTTGAAATGCCTACGGCATGTAGAAACTTGATTATTTTTATGGATTTGGCAAATCCAAGTGTATCACTTATTATATTTACTTTACAATTTCAAATTTCTTTTATATCATTTGAAATTTTAATTAATTCAAATACCTTATTCTTTTCGTGTTTTACTATTGTTATCTTTATGATTCTCATATAGTTTTTATCTCTCATTGTTGATTAGAAAATATAGGTAAACTCATCATTTTTAATTTATTGTTTTCTTTTTGAATCTCAACTCATCTCTCTTCTTCATTTTATTTTTTTTAAATTATTCAAGTAAAGGATTTTGAATACATGAATTCTGAATGTGAGATTTGAAATGTAAAATGTAAAATTTAAAATTCAAATCTAAATTCTCCAATCCAAAAATTTGGAAAATTATGTACCATATTTTTAACTAAGAATATGGCCAAGTGTCGTCCTAATCCATTAACATTAATATCTTATTATTCCAACTATGGAAATTGATGTTATCTGGATAATTACTTTTTTCTAGTAAATCATCCGATGTCCAAAAGGCAATTACTTCGACTATTTTGGATCAAGCTAATTAGCACACTTTCAGGCTCAAACTCCACAAACAAATGTCGCTGCATTTTTAAGATTAAAACTAGAGATTTTTTGTCAAACCAATACAATTTCACTACTAGTTGAACTAAAGGTCTGTGAGTGTTGCCTATACAATTACTCTTCGAAGTTCATGGCCAACTTGCCCCATTTCCCTTATTTAATTCATTGGCATAAGGTACAGTGGCAGTGACTTGATTGCTACTATAATTATTTCTATTAGATTACAAGAGGGTTCAAGCGGGATCGAAGCAGCGAGCTAGTACCACCAAAGATGAGTATCATGCCATTAGGTCAAAGAACCATTAACACGTTGAAGTTTAATTTCAACTTCAAATCTTTGTATATTGTTTGCTATGGCATATTATATCATATTATTTATCAATATTGTTTATTTATTCCAAAATATAATCTAAAAAATATGAAAGACAAACAGCAATTTGAAATACAATAATTTGAACTTCTCGCTTGAATTTGAACTCGTCATCCAATATTGACAAAGATACAAAATAAAGACAGCCCTAGAAGTTTAATTTGTTATAATGGTTAATATCAAGGGTAAACAAATATTTCTGAGTCCAAATTCCATTTATTTGTTTACAAACTAAATAATTCCCCACTAGGTGCCATTGAGAGTTTTGCCGTCCAAAATTCAGAGGGATATATTCATGTCATCCACTATGTATGAACCTTATAGAGAACTGATTCCTGATATGATAGAACTTCAAATATATGGGAATTGATGCTGTTTTGATTCTATCTTCCCTGCAGAAAACTTGATCTTCCTACAGGAAAGAGCCGTTGCTAAAGCAGCTGTAATCTGTCATATAGGAATCAAGTGCTTAGTTGTAATTTTCAGAATGAACAACATAACAAGTGCGCGCACGTACATGTGCGTGTTTCCAAGCTGTGAGTTTATTCATCAGTTTAAGTGACGTACCCCAGTTCCATTGCTTTGGTTGGTGGTTCACAAGATTGAGACTGTGGCTGTCTTAGCTGCAGATAGGTTGGTGCATGTAACCCTTCACAAGTCTAATTGAAAAAAAAAAAAAAAAACAAGAAGCTTCATTTAGTCTTGAAAAGAAAACATATAATCTGATCAGGTCAAATTCAAGTATTGTCAAATCCAAAGGGAGATAACTCCTAAGGTCAACACCGGTTGGTAAACATTTAACTTTTTAACAAACAGCATAGGCGCGGTAGATGGTATCACCATCTTCCTTCCATTTTCCTGTGTAATTTAGGGCAATCTTGTTGATTGTATTAGCATATTCTCTTGTCAGACTGATAAGTTATATGAACGGAAAGATGAATAGCACATGTACATGATCTAATTTGATAAACTGTTTTTATCAACTTAATTGCATGCCTTCTGTAATTCTGCATTTTCTTTACTAATGACTTCAATCCTTTTATAGAGTTCTACGTTTTCTTGACTATATTGATATCCCTGCAATAGCACATCAATAAATTAGTTAGCATTTTTGGGAATACATTTCATACATGGCAAGATCAGAAATATTTTTGAATACCTTTTGTTGCAGCCCTTTAATCTCATCCTTTAAAACTTGTTCCTGAGGATAATTTAATGATCAAGTTAAATGTTTGTCCAGTAAAAGCAGCAAGACATGTTAAATTAAATTAAGATATGAGTTGAATTTATCTATCAAACCTTTTTGATCCGGACATTTCTTAAACTTATCCCCAGTTGATTTTCCAAATTTCGCAAGTCATTATTGCTCAAACTAGAAAGTTGTTCACCCATCAATTGCCTGCATTTTCCAAAAAAAGGAAATGAGTTACTTTTGGTTTACTAAGTAGTTCCAGTTTCTTAAATTCAGAGGATATAAAAGGAATGATTGAATTGCAATTGTAAAGAGAGTTTATGATAGTTGAGTGAGTTCAGAAGTATTAGTGTATTGCACTGTTTGTTCATTTGCATTTTGTTTGATTGCGTGCAAGTATTATCTTATTCCAGGCTCTGTCGGGCACTAACATGGGCATCTCTCCCAGCATATGTGATCATCTGTTATTTTTTCCATGTTGAGACCAATATTTTGCAAGCAGAAAGTAATAATGCTCCTTCCAATGCATCTTATTTTCTTATTATAATAGAGTAGTAATCAAGTAATTTTGTTACCTGTAGCATTCTTGCAAATGTCGAAGTTGTTGCCTCAAGACTGTTGCTTCTCTTCGCCAAAACTACCAAATGGAAAAACATATATCATCCAATCTATATATATATATATATATAGCTTGAATATTATGTCGAATAAAGAGTAATGCAATCAAGACGAATTAAGAAGGGATGAATTCTAACTCAAGATGTAAGTATGGAGATGCAAGAATATTATTTAGCAGTCTTGATGAGATCATGTCAAGAGACATGTTGATGAAATAATCTTATTGGTTGGTGATGATATGACTCTTTAGTGATGAAAATGAAAAAGCAAAGGAAATTGGAACTTCGATGCACTGTTGTAGTGCTAGAGTAACTATAGCATGAACTATATGAAGAAACCTAAAAAATATGTTGAGGAATGGTATTTAATTTGATCTTGTACCTTGACTTCTGAAGCAGGATCTATAAGCTTAGAGTGATCCCCTTTTTGTTCATTGTAACCGTCAATAATAGATTTCATGCTGCGAGAAACGGAGATAATTCAATCAAAATAAGACGAAAATAAATGTTAGGGTTAAGGTTGGAGTTAAAACTTTATAAATAGAGCTACAATGTATTCATTTACCCAAGATATTGAAAACTAAATTAATCAAAGCACTAATTTAGTAGTTAATGGTCAAAATCATATTTGAGCCATGATTCAACAAGTCATGTGCAAATTATTTTATTAAAATAGTTAAGACACTAATTTAAAAATTTACTGACTAGCAGGTTGATATGAATTTTCATATTATACATTAGCTAGACTTTTAATTGATTGAATAAAGCATTCTGAAATTTTCACTGCATCATCATTTCTCTTTCCTTCTCTCTCCTTTCTCTATCTCTTTCCCCTGCCCCTTTAGGTTTGCAAGTACTACTAACCCCGACCATGTTCATGCACTCCAAATCAGCACATGACACATCCTTATCGTAATTTAATAAAGACCTTTAGCATAGTGTATATAGTTATATATTTGTATGCATGTATGTATGTATGTATGTGAAGGCATGCATAAAGGCGTTTTAACGTGTTCTTCCAAGTTTGGGGCATGTCTATGAAACTTGCGGTACAGTTCAACCAGAAGAGTTGAGATCTCTTATTTATAATGTTGCATATATACGATTTCATGCACAGCTTTTTATTAGCTCCCATTAAGTTTGACCAAATACAGAGGTACGAGAAATGGAGGAAAAACGAGAATTAAGTTAGGATTAGCTAGCAGAAGGAGAAGGAGTTTCTGATATTCTATCAGGCCCTATATATATACATATCAAGCCTATAAACAAGTATGTATAAATCCAAAGCATCAATTTTCAAGCTTGCAGTTACTCTTCTCTCTCTCTGTCTCTCTCTCTCTCTACACTTTTATGCGCACACACACAAGTGGGAGTACAAAAGAAAACTTGTTAATTTCTTCTAGGACGTCCCACAACAAAACAGGATGGTTGCTAAAATTGGAACGGAACTGCACAGTATATATCTGACAGAGAATATCATCACATTTTATCTTGGGAGGAAAAAAACCAGAAAAGAAGATGGTGTAAAGGCATATTACTAAGATCAAAGGAGAGATCAGAAGCACAGTGAATTTTAAATATTGTCTCACAGCTTCTGGTAAAGCAAACAAAGGAAAAATAAATTAAGCTGGGAATTGAACTAAATAAGGAACCTGGAGCTTCCATATTCATAGAGCTTGCCGGAGCTGGAGAAGACGATAACACCAACTTGTGCGTCGCAGAGGATCGAAAGCTCCCTCGCTTTCTTGAGCAATCCACTTCTTCTCTTTGAGAAAGTCACTTGCCTGTTCGTTGAATCATCGATCCTCTTAATCGCAATCTTTGCTCTTCCCATCTCTCTAGCTAGGGCTTCTCAGACCAGCTGCCACACAAAAATCCCTAATAATGCTGAAATGATTCATCAAATGAACTCTTAAACAAAACCATACGCATAACTAAAACATCAATAAAATAAAAACATAAAAATCGTAATAAATAGCTCAGATATATGCTGGAGAAGCTGGAACTTACACAACAATTGGAGAAGTATAAGAAGGTCCTGACTAGAGAGGCTGTTGAGGATTGATGTGTTTTGGATACTTTATTCGGATTCTTGTCAAGCGGTTTTGTTTCGTCTGTCTCGATTCCATTATCATTGTGGGGTAATAAAACCGGTTTTTTGGGCAGTGAAGAACCGCAAGTGGTCTTCTTGCCGATATGTTGACCTAAACGCTCAAGCATTGCTTAGGTAGACCGTAGACTGATAGCTAGGGACAGGTGTCGGCCAGGGAGAGCGAGTGTTCGCCCCGTGAAAGTGTCTGCGAGTGGAGAAGTGATTCCTCGGCATTTCCGAATGGTGGGGCCTGAGAAGTGACGCAGATTGGAATTGTCAGTCCCGTAGAAGAATAATTAAATTATTAATGTTAAAAAAAATTATAATTTGTATATCCTTGCTAAATGCATGTCTTTAAAACATTGTTAAAAAAAAATTTTGACAGCAACAAAAAATTATTATTAAAGTTCAAAAATTATTGTTAAAAGTTAATTTTTTGTAACAACTATTAAAAGTTGCAATAAAAAATATTACTTTTAATAATGACATTTAAAAGTTGTTGCCAAAAATCAAGTTTTGGCATCAACTTTTGAAAGTGATAAAAAAAGTCATTGTGAAAGGTCCACCTTTGGTGGTAACTTTTAATAGTCGCTGTCACAAGTGAATCTTTAATGCCAACTTTTTTTTAGTCAATGTAAAAAATTACTGTCAAAAATCATTTTTTTTTAGTGAAAAATATTGTCTTTTATATGTAGCCTTTAAGATAATTAAAGACTAATACTATAGGACCGGAAGCAATACTTCCATTTTAAACTAAACTCCCTGCTAATTTATGGACGAGTAAATGGTCTGATTCTGATTGTTCTGCCCTCTGTGATATTTTGCATAAATAAGAGATTGCCCTTATGCAAAGAATATTTGGGTCCAGATGGTACATATAAGGCATCAACCATTTTTCTTCAACGCTTCCCTTGCTGAGTGGGTTAGCTTAAATCTGAAAAAAGTTTACTGCTGATAGCGAGTCAGATTGGAACTTAATTTGGGCATATTTGATCCAAAATTTAAGTTATTATTACTCGCTGCAATCACTTTTAACAAGAAACAAATAATTAATTCTCAAAAATAAAAATGTGTAGTTAAAATGGTTGGATTTAGTGACCAATTAATCATATCTTGAATAAGATGGCCTGTAATAGAAAGATACCTATGAGCAATTAAAATAGTTGGATTTAATAAATGTTACAAAAATAATTTTTTTTCTAAAATATCCTCATTCAATAATTGACCAAGGACCTTTCATGTTGTTATTTTTTAGACTTCTTTAGTTCCATTTATAGGGTAGAGAAAGAATATTTATTTTTATCTTATTTATAAGGTACCTTTATGATTTTTATATTTATCTTTATCCTTTTGCCCGATTAAAGGCTTGTAAAGTTGTTAAATGTGGAGTATTTTTTTTTATTAAAGTATGCATATCTAATTAAGATAAAGTTGGAAACTTGTTAAATTTTTAGATAGAAGTAATGAGATTTAAAGTTTTTTTCTGATTCTAGTAAAATATGCTAGAAATGACTTATAAATAAGATTGGAATAAATAAATAGGTATCTTATAAAAAGATCTCAAGGGAATACACCACATTAACTTTTTCAACCATACCCTTTTCATTTATTGTGAGTCCATAATGTGTTCTCGGAACTTAATCATGTATTTGATATAGTTAATTAGAATAAAATTGATAAAAGAACATTTTTTTAAAAAAATTTAAAACAAAGCTAATTAACTTTTGTAAGAGGTATGAATTAGTTTGAATTGCCATATATTTAAAACTAGAATAAGTACTCACTCAAGTCCTTGTTATAAGACATTTTTAATCATTTCATGCACATTAAAAATGTTATTTTTTTATATAATAAAAAATGAGATAAACTTTTATTTTTATCCTTGAATTAAAAAAAATACAACTACATTAAATACCCTCACCCTAATCAAGAAAGGGTAGAACTGGAAAAAAGTGGGTTAAATATTATAAAGTGTCTTACATTTTAGACCAAAAATAACTTTTAAAAGGTGTTTTACAAATAGAACTAGAAGGAGTATATCCATATCTCTCAATATTTAAAGTGTGTTTTCGGTTTTATGTTGAGAATCACTAAAACCATGAAGTATTTGACTGGTTTGTAAAATTCTTTTACCTTAGGATATTGGTTTGTAATTTGAAACCACTAAATAAAACAAAAGATTATTTTAATTTCAAACAGAAACCAAATAAAAGGTTTTTAATTTAATTTATTAGTAAGTTAAGATTGATCTGTGGAGAAGTCAGGCTGAAAAAAATAATGTCTGGATTTTCATAGATCCTTTATAAATTATTTGTGAATTGAATTTAAAAGAACTTTGTTTTGTTATAAAATTTGAACGTAATCTAAAATATTATTTTTCCTGAAACATAAGAAGAGACAAATACAAGTTGACGTGCAAATCATGTGCTCCGCTGAAGACGGTGCTTATTTTTGTGCTTAGCATGATAAGTGACTAAAATTATCATGCTCACGTGATCATTTTTATTTTTTTCCCCTAAGTTGGGAATCTTTCATAGTGGCCACGTTATACGAGAAGGGGCTTCATGTGGCGACAGTTGGCAGCTGTTAATATTCAATAGTCGATGGTTGGCAATAGAACCAGTAAGCTCCTAATCAAAAGAGGAGAATTACATCCAATGACCTCCAAATAAAATTACTAGCAGACAATGACTAACAATAAGCTACTTACAGTTCCGGAAAAAACAAAAAGTTGCTACTACCATTTTAAGAACAAACAATTTTGTATTAGTCATTGTTTTTAAATAATTCTCTTGAGAAGTCCTTAGATATGATTCTCTCAATAAAATTTCGCTGTAGTAATCTAAAAATTACATTTATTCAAATGAAATCTTGATACAAATTAGGCTTAAAAGATAATCCTATTAAAACAAGAACTATAAGGTCTTGTTTGCTTACTACTAGAAAGAACTACTAGAAAGAAATGAAATGGAATGGATTGAAAAAATATAGGTAAAAATAAGATGATCACAGAGAATATGTAAGTACATTCATAAAGGGGTAATTTAGTTTATAGGGTTGAGAATCATGATTTATAAAATTTTTGGAAGGTGTGATGATTCTCACATTTATAGTATATATTAATAAGTTTTATCATGCTTGCCATGAGGGGAGGGTGATTTAGTTTATTTTTATCCTAATTTTTTCAATTCATTCCATTCCTTTTTGGTAACCAAAAGGAACCTAAATCTAGCTAATCTTGTTCCATCACGTCTCGCCATTTAGGTTTGTAAGTGCAATGACATTGTTCATATGTACTCCAAATTAGAAAATCCTTATCAAAATTTAAAACCGACCTCAATATGTTGTATATAGTTATATATTTATATGTATGTATATATGTGAACACCATGCATAAAAGTGTTTTAATTAATGCATTCTTTTATATATGAATTTCTCTATGTAAAAATCCTCATGGAATGCAATACAGTTCATTAAACTAGAAGATTTGAAATCTTTTAGGGGGAATCGCACTAGGGGCCCTAAAAAGCAAGAATTTTGCAGATAAGGCCTAATAGATTTTGAAATTATTCTAAGAGCCTAAAGGCCTCATTTGCAATTATGTTTTCTGGTGAAATGACTAATTTATCCCTCTCATAACCAGCTGTTGAACGAAAATTTCTTCTTCTTCCTCTATTCTTCCTCCCTCTTCCTTCTCTCTCTTCCTCTTTCAAAACTGATACAATAACCAAATTCATTTTCCTCCCCCTCATGCTTCTCTATTCCCTCTCTTCTTCTTCCTCCTTCTTCCTTCTTTCTCTCATCTGAAGCTTTTTTGTTCAACAAGTATGAGTGGGCGATCCACTTTTATCCAGATGGGTATGGAGAAGATGATTAGGCATTCATCTGATTACATTCCTCTCATGCCAATTAGCTTCTTGAAACAATTCGCCATAGTGTGGAAAGAATGGATCAAGTACTGCATATGCCATTATTAGTTTTATTTTGTCAAAAAAGGATATAGAGAAAGTTTGAGCCATATTAGTTTAATCTAATCATAATGTATACGTTCACATTCATTTAAAGAAAACAAGTTATTATTTATGAACTTTTTATTATTTCTTATTCATATTTTTCTACAACTGATATAAATGTTCTGGTGTAGATATTGTATATGAAATTTATGTTGTTATTTATAGAGTTTATGTTGTGCAAACTTTGCAATTAACTTGCGCAGATATTTATGTGTATCATATCAACAAACCTTATATTGTAAATATATGGACATTGTGTTGTTAGTGAATGAATACTTTCATGTTATATAAACCTTTGTAAACTTAAGAAACTTTTTCAAATGTTCAGTTTAATCACACAAATCATGTGAAATAGATTGACATTGTGTTGTTAATAAATGAACCTTGTCATGTTATATACAGACTTTTTATTGTTCATAAACTTGAGAAATTTTTTATTAAGCCTAGCCAACTAATAAACTAGACACACATGGACTTTCAATTTAGAATATATGAAGATTGTGTTGTACATGGTGGATATTGTGTTGTATATTGTTTGCTTATATGAGCATTTTGTCAAGCCTAGCCTACTGATAAAGTAGAATCTTATAGACATTTAGTTGAAAATAAATAAACTTTATATTGTGCATAATGAATATTGTGTTATGCATTATTTGCCTATTTGTGCATTTTGTTAAGCCTAACCTATTGATAAAGTAGAATCGTATGGACTTTTAGTTAATAATATATGAACCTTAAGTTGT